ATATATATATATACTACAAAATGCTTATAGGTGAAATTCTACAGTACTTCACTTATGACTTTATCACCGTTCAAAGTTTATCACATGGTCACAGATATTTGATAGTATCTCAATTTTAATATATTTTTTACAAATCATAATGATCTGAAGTTTTGTAGGTGTGTGCGCCTTAGTGAGATGCACATGAATAAAATATAAAACAAATAATTTGAATGACAAAAATTATGTAAAATACCCCTATAAAGTTTCAGGGGTAATTTCATCATTTTAATTTATGATTATTATTTTTTTAATATTTTATTTTGGTGCGACTTGGTCATATGTATACGCGCCCCAAATTTTAGATAAATCTGATTAGTATAATAATTATGAAAATTCAAATACTATCAGACAACTGTGTCCGTGTGATGAACTTTGGATGGTGTGAGTGTTGAAAGCTTGATTTATTTGACCATCTCTCGACCAGACATTGCTTATGTTGAGTCATCTTGCCAATCAATTTTTGAGTGCTCCTTGCTCAGTTTACTTTATAGTTGTTTTACGTATTATTTGCTATACACGGAACACTCTTGACATGCTCCATTTTTATCTTCAATTTTGTCACTTAAGTTTCGTGCTTATATTGACTTTGATTTGTGGATCTACTTCAGATCGGAAGTCTACTACAGTTTTTTGTATTTTTCTTAGTGACTCCTTTTTTTATTGAAAGAACAAGAAGCAACAACGCATTGCTTAGTCCACATCTGAAGCTGGGTATTGTACTATGGCTTAAATAACAATTGAGATTATTTTGCTTCATTGGTTATTGACTGACTCAACCATGGAAATTTGGCTCCTACTCCTTTATATCGTGATAACAAGTACCAATTATATTAAAGTAGATTATCATTACCTGTCCAGTCCCTACCAAGAGTGAATTGTTTGGCTTCATTGGTTATTGACTGATTTGGGCATGAAACTTTTAACCCTTACTCCTTTATATTGTAGTAACAAAAGTGCAATATATATTGCTAGGAACCTTGAGTTCTATGAGCGTACCAAGTATATTGAAGTAAATTATCATTTTATTCGTCAGGATTATTTAACTAGGACAATCTCTCTTCCATATATCTCATCTATTGCATAACTTGCTGACTTCTTTATGAAATCCTATATTACTCATCAGTTCTCAAACCTTGTTTCTGAACTCTCAATGGTTTCAGTTATGACGATCACCTGAGGGGGAGTGTGCATGTAGTACACTAACTTTCTTTTTTTTATTTTGATATGATACAGGCTGTGACACATCCTTTTCCCTTTTGTATATTTTCTTTTCTTTACTTTTTTGTATATTACACGGCTTGTGCAATGTGTCAATGAATACATATATAGGGTTTTCTCCCATGATTCATATACTGAGAAATACATAAGTTCGCTCACAATCTGTATATTTTTTGGGCTTATCAAATATACCCTTTTATAACAATTGGTAGATGAGAAATATCAGGAGTCTTATCACTAATGTCCCCCATGACGTTATCGAAAGGTAACACTACTGCCCCCCAACGGGTAACAGGTGAAACCGTCGGAACAAAAAATGGTCCTCGCATTAAATGTTTGACAAAATAGAATTTAAATATTCAAAAGTTTAAAAATATGAATAAAGAGTTTATGACTTTCCACATTTTTAGATTATATAATATCCTAATATGTCTATTTTTTTGCGTATGTTTGATTGTTTATCGATGTTTCAGAATTTTTATAATTAAATGCTTTTCAAGTCATGACAATATTACTGGAGCATGAACACCAACAATCATGGCCGCCTCTGAAACTTAATTTTTCATATCAATTATATTGAATGGATACCAACAGTCCAGCTAGGGTTTCAAATTTATCTCTGAACCTAATTTGCTGGATCGCATGTTAAAAAATATTTCTTTTAGCCTGATTTCATAAAAGATGCAATGAAAAGAAAAACCCCTCTCTAGATTTGCAGGTTCTCTCTCTCTCTCTGCAGCTCATCCCCATCGTTCGACTTGCAACATGTTGATTTTTTCTATGTTTCATCTCAATTGCTCGATTTGCAGAAGGTGGATTTGTCATCTCAATCACTTGTGTCCAACACACACATACTCCCTCTCTCTACCCACCTCTTTGTTTAAATCTTATAAAAAACCAATACCCAACCCACACAACCCATCTTCTTCTTTACAATACTAAGCCACTGTATACATCTTTTTCTCTGCAATTCAAACCACCAACCTCCCAAAAAACCAGCTCAAAACCCACCAAGATGGTCCAAAAAAACTGTGTTCATCTAGTTCTCTGTTTTGTCTTTCTATACTTCCCTCACCTGAAGCTCTGTGTCCTAGATCTACTATACTTCCCTCTCTTGAAGCTATGTGTCCTGCATCCACTATTCTCTCTTGCTCTTTCTCTTCCTCTCACTATGCAAGCCCCACGTCTTTCCCCTCCATCAATCTTTCTCTCTCTGACTTCTCTTTTCCTAGTTTTCTCATTCTTTACTCATATCTCTCCTAAAGACCCAAGCTTTTGTTTAGATCAAGAGTCTCATGTTTATCTTAAGGACTCCCTGTATCCATAAATCAATATGAACATTAAGGTTTTTTTTATATTGACAATTACAGATAACAATAATAAAAAAATTAAAAACACTAATATTATACTCAGACTTATTATAAATCCAAGACATTGTATCTACTTTTCATAAATATACAGATTACAATAGACTTTCATATTAAGGTGGTAGGCAATATCTATCTTCTTTTCACGCTCCCCCTCAAACTCAAGATATTATGAAAGAGAGCAACTGGAGTTCGAACACTAATTGCGGAAACGAGCAGTTAGATCTTTAGGTGCATAGCGTGACCAGTAGAAGCAATGGTTATCATACTCAAATTTTTTGATCAATAAGCACAGAAAGCAGTGGCAGATCAACAAGTCTCAGGAATAGATAAATTTTAGATCTTCACCAAAGACAAAAAACAGTTGAAACAACCGAGAAAAACAGAATGATACATGGAAGAGACAACAAAACTCGGTGTGGATCCGAGACAGATTCAGCAACTCACAGACCAAAACAGACATGATCGAGTAATAGGAAAACACGATCATCACCAGACCAACATGCATTCAGAATGTACGAGATCGAGTAATGGTAAACTTGAACATCAAACAGGATCAAGTTGTAGGTGATCAAAGAATAGGATTGAGTAATATAATAACAAACTTGATTTTATAAACAAAAAGATATACACCTTCCATATTAGGATGATAGACAACATATACTTTCCTTTCACATTAGAGAGACATGGTTGTTTGGGGAGATGAGAGAAATAATTAGAGAGAGACGTGGCAGTGTGGGGAAATGGGGAGAAGTATTAGAGAGAGAAGCGACGGTTTGGTGAGAGAGGAATGGATCTTGCAGAGCTCGCCAAGAGAGAGATGTTAAGATGGGAGGCGTTTTGTGGGTCTGCGTAAGTAATGGTGAAGCGAAAGCAAAAAAATTGATTGAAAAAATTGAATCCCACAAAATTCAAGTTAGAGTTGAATTTTGTAAGATTCAAATAAGGGAACTTATTTCATGTGATGGGGACCTCATTTCTATATTTGCGGTCCCCGAGGTATCAAGCGTGCAAATAAAGTGGTCCATCTAAAAATAATTGACACTAACGGTCCAAATATTTTTTTAATAGAATTATTATTTTCATTTTTAAAATTTTATTTATTTATTCATATTTATGATCTCCATGTTAAAGATTACATATTCTTAAAAATTAGGTCTAAAAATCCATCTCAAAAATAGATTTTCAAGAGGTGACTCATTTCTACATGGACCTATAAAAACCGTGTCCTTCATATAATTGATGATTATCTAGTTTTAAAGGGTGTGATTTTGTTCAATAAAATAAGTCACAACCCCTTTTGGTATCTTTTAAGATCAAGATCATCACAGATTTTGCATTATCTTAAAATATTAGGATATATTGCGGGGGGAAAAGTTTATGTAAGGTGTTACCTTATACTGTATAAGGAAGCTACACTTAAAAAATCCATTAGAGAAGATTGGTCTTGTGCTAGAAAACCCTCAAATCGGTCATCTCGACCTCAAGATTCATAGACAAAAAAAAGGGATTTCTAATATTAAAAATAACTCATCTTCTAACACATTATCTGAACTATATGTTTTCAAGATTTTAAGCGTTCATAGATCTACTTGATCGTTACTGTTTCTCTCGAATTTTAATTTTCATAATTGGGGGAAATAATAGATTTTCATACCATTGCAAGGCTTTGTGGAATCGAAAGTGTATTTTCGATATAGTTTGAGAAATTTATGTATGGACCATATTGAGGTCAATTACAAAATGGGATCGTGTTTGTTCCAAAATTGTAGGCGGCACCCCTTCACAAGGTTTTTTTTTTTCCAAGTTACTCCCACTGTGCGGTAACGCAAACACCGGACATGTAGATTTTATACCGTGCAAAACAAAACAACTGTCCGATATTTCAGATACTTAAACAAAATAACTGTTCGATATTTGAAATACTGGATAGCTATATGCTTTCCACAAAATCATGAAGCTTTCTCTCTGCTTTTACAAAGTAAACCTAAACGTTTATACGCCATCTTTTTCTCTCCCTACAAATACAAATCCACGGCATAGAAAATAAAGAAACCCTAAAAGTTCACTTCGTATTAGTGTTCATCCGCTGGTCATGGAAAGAATCCCGCAATTCAACCACAGCTTACAGCTTGATTGAAAACAATTTGAGCTCCGAATAAACAATCTTTTCATGTTCACTGTAGAGAGCGATACTTAAATCCTCTGTCATCAAAGCGCTATCGATTGAGTAGCAAAGCAGCAATTTCTGCAACCTTGAAATTCCTAAATCACTTTCATTTTCCACTTCATGGATCTGATATCCTAGAATTTCCGGATTTTGCCTACCAAACATGCCTAATCCAAAAGCCACACCAGCAAACACATTCCAATCTCTGAAAAGTTAAAGCTTCAAAGCTCAAAGCAAAAAGATAATGCTCCAACAAAGAAAACCTTACATTTGCAACGTAAAAATTGAAGACAACCAAAATAAATGCCTAAGTTAAATTGCTGAAAAAAACAACAAGAGGAGTGACGTCCAAGCTGCAATGTTGTCCTAATTTTAGCTGGAAAATTTCACCCAATGGCCTGAAATACACAAGAACGTGACTAGAACCCTGCAAACTTCACCTAAATTTTACTTACATCACCTAGAAATATCGGTTCAATCAATCGATTCCAGCTTTATGCTTGGCTAAAATGGTTGGAAATTGGTCGGAAAACCATTTGGAATACTGAAAATTCATCAAAATTTTGTCAAAATTTTGCCCCGTTTTCTCCATTTTAGTGACAAGCGGATTGCAAACCCTTCACTCAACCTGCTGTGCGAGAAATTTTACGAAATTTGGCTGAAAAATTTGTTGATGATCACACATTCGTGTTGCCTTTTTTGTATTCGCAAGATCAGCAATGTAGTTGATCGAGTGCATCTCCGATTTTGGGAAGAGAGATGGCTTTTTGGTTTTGAAATTACTATATAACTATCCAGTATTTCAAAACACTCGACAACTGATTTGCTTTACGCTGTATAAAATACAAACCTCTCGTATTCGTGTTGCTGAATATAAAAAAATTTAGGAAAAAATAAATGGTCGCAAAGGGAGGGCACCCATGATTAGGAATAAACGTGATTTGATTATGTAATTGAAACTTATGGTCCGTACGTGAATTTTGAGGTACACCGTACTGCAATAGTATAAGGTAGTCACCTTATACAAACCTCACCCATGGCCGGGTCGTCGAAAACATACAAAACAAGGAAACGGAATTGAATTTCGCACGCGATACTGCGAGGCTATCTTCCCTTTTCTATGGTGCATCTCTCCTTCTGTCTCTCTTCCTCGTTAGTTTAATCTCTGATTCTCTCTCCCAACATAGGGCTGGAGGAACTCTCTGAACTTCTCTGACTATTGAGCCCTAATCCTCTTGTGAACCTCTCGATCATGGTGAGGACAGTGGTTGGAGAGGAGACCCACTTAAGCTCATTCGAGGCCCAACTTTCACAGTCAGGACTTTCTGCACAAGTAATCAGAAGAAAACAAAAACTCAAAACTCTTTTCTCTCTTCTGCATCATTTTCTGGGTCTTTTTACTCATGGCCATCGATTGGTTGTTGGTTCTTTAAATGGATTTACAGGTGGGCTTAGTAATAGGCAAGATTACTACTGGTTCAGATCGAGGAGCAGTTTATGGTCTGGTTCCTACTCCACTCAATGATAATGGTGAACCTGCTTCTCTGATTTCAAGTGGAAGAGATGATAAGAAGAGGAATTTGAAGCAACCCAAATCTCAACAGGAATCATCTTCTCTTCTTATTGATTCCGATTGGGTAGCAGAGCATGCTCGTCAGGTGAAAATTCATGCTTTTTTTCTTACTTTCTTTTGTGTATCTTACTGAATCATGAATTAATATATTAGTTTTTCTTTTTCCCATCTAAATCTAGCAGTTGATTATGTATGTCACATTAGAAAGTAGCATCAACTAAATATTAAATTATAAGGGAGTTCTAGTCCTAGGCATCAAGAGGCCCTTCACTTGATGCCTTTTTTGTTTTTTGAGAAAGCCGCTTGCTTGTCAGATATTCTTATTTCTCATTCTCGTGATTGATACATTTGGTTTGAACATGTTCAGCGATTCCGTTGAGCACATGGTAATTCATCTTGCAGTCAAATGTGTGTTTGCTGCTAGATTTCCTTAGCATTTTGCAGAGCATTAGGAACTATTTTTTCAACATGTAAATTTCATTTCACATGTCACCTAACTGTTGGAGTACTGGAATCTGATGGCTTTTAAGCTTGAAATGTTTCTCTTTATATCTAATGGTAATACGTGAGAAAATAATCATTCAAGTTTCATGTTTAGGCCATTTACGAAATAAAAGGGTTTATATATGATCCTATTAACTTGCTGAAATAATTAACGTTTATGTTCATTAATATTTCATGTGCCCTAGTGAACTTTTTCGACGTGGTTTATACTCCTTTTTGCTGGAAGAAAAAACTAGATTTACGAAAATCATAATATCTCTTAATGGTTCATAAAAGAATGATTCTAGAAAACCACCCTTTAGAAAACCCAAATCGAGATTAATAGTCATGCACAGGGTTTGAAAACTCGGCGAGTCGAACCGGACTCGCTCGATTCGACTCAGGAGCCGGCATACCCGTGCCGGTTCCACTGCAATACCGGGAATCGCCCATGTCTAGAGAGAAACAGGCGATTCTCAACAGTGAATCGCCTAGTCGGGCCGGTTCTCAACAGTGACTCGCCCAAGAACACGGGCTGCACAGTGTTCTTCACGATTTTTATGGTTTGTTGTCATTTTCTTATCATTTTTCATCTTTTTCAGCTTTACAATCGAATCTTGCAGGCTTTAATTTAAATTTTTAGCCATTTCAGTCAATAAAAGTAGTAAAAATCACCGATTTTGATCATAAAAATTTGGATCTGTGAAGAACGAAGCGTGAGTTTTAGGGTTCCGCCATTTCTTTGATTTCAAGCAAAAGAGGACATCATTTTTTGTAAAATCTGAGGGTTAAATTTATAGGGTTTTGATTCCTTATAGTGTTGTTTATCATCACATGTATTCAATTTGATTTTATTTATTTGAGCTTGATTTTTGAGAAATCAAGACTGATGTCTGTGAAGAAAAAATGAACTGCATTTTTTTTTTTTTCTGCCATTCTATCAATTTTACTCAATATTTTACAAATAATGTGTTACATTTATAGGGTTTTGATTCCTTATAGTGTTGTTTATCATCACATGTATTCAATTTGATTTTATTTACTCAATTTGAGCTTGATTTTTGAGAAAAGTAAGACTGATGTCTGTGAAGAAAGAATGAACTGCAGTTTTTTTTTTTTCTGCCATTCTATCAATTTTACTCAATATTTTACAAATAATGTGTTAAATTTATAGGGTTTTGATTCCTTATAGTGTTGTTTATCATCACATGTATTCAATTTGATCTGATTTATTCAATTTGAGCTTGATTTTTGAGATTGAATGATTGATGTCTGTGAAGAATTGCGTTTTTTTCTTTTTCCTCAATTCAATCGATTTTATTTAATTTTTTGATCATAATGTGTTAATATTATAGGGCTTTGATTCCTTATAGTGTTGTTTATCATAACATTTTTTCAATTTGATGTAATTTATTCGATTTGAGGCAGATTTTTGAGTTGGAATGACTGATGTTAGGTGGGTCTATGAAGAACTGCGTTTTTTTTTTTTTTTAAATTGATGATCAATTTTTTTGAAAAATCGTGATTTTTCAAAAAATTGTGAAAATCGTGACCAGGTTTTGATTATCATGAGGAATTAAACGGTATTCTTAATTGTTATTGTTAAATTTTTAGTGCAAAAAATTGCATGTTGATAGATTATTTATGCAAAAAAATACATGTTATTAAATTTTTAATGCAAAACTGTATTTTTTAATTTGTTGTTAATGCAAAAAAATACATTAACAAATACATGCTGTTAAATTGTATTATATTTTTAATGCAGTTTTGCATTAAAAATGTATTTTTAATTTTTTAAATTTTTAATGCAAAAAATATATGTTGTTACACTGTATTATCATGAGGAATTAAAGTGAATATCATTGTAAAAAAATCGTGGCATGTATGATAATTATATTATCTTGCATTCTTCATTTTATTATTAAATTTTTAATGCAAAAAGTGTATGTTGATGCATAAATTGTATATATCTTCATGATAATTGAGTTGTAGCCATGTTTGGAGCTTGCATTTTTTATTATATTGTCTTGTATATCTGTAATTGAGGTGTACAACTATTTGTGATCATTTCAATTGAGTTGAGATTGTGCCCACTATATCATTGTAAATTTTATTCGTGGCGTTGTGAATGACTATATTATTGTAAATGTTTTTTGTGTCAAATATACGTGGAGTGGCATTATGGATGACTATTATTGTAATTTTTTTTTTGATTTTAAGTGTGACTTATACAGACTTTTTTTTATCTATAATGTTGCATAAATAGTTTTTTTTTTTTAGTAGGAACTAATTCATGTTTGTCGAAATGAAGTTTTGTGACAAGTCTATATGTATTGACATTGTGAATTACTATACAATTGTAAATATATTTTTTATTGATACTATATCTATGTAAATTTTTTGTTCTATATGTAGTGGCTGATATAGGCTATTTTTATCTATAATGTTGAACTAAAATATTTTTGTCAATAGAAATATTTTGCATTAACAACAAATATAATTTCAAGAACTACCTCTACATATTATCACTACACATGGTGATTATTTTTCATGTTGAACTGTCAGGTTAATTTTTAATCCTTTACATATTAAAACAGTTGAACCATGGCAAGATCTGTGGAAGACCCTACATAGCAACATGGGGTCAGACTTGATCCCAACAAAAAAGATAAAATTATTTGTAATTATTGCCAAAGAGTGATAAATAGTGTGGTACATAGGTTCAAGCAACACTTGATAGGGGTTAAGGGAGATGTTTTTGCGTGCAATAGTATCCTTAGTAATGTAAGAAAGCAGATGACGCATTTCTCAAGGCTACCAAAGGTAAAAAAATTGCAAAGCAGAGGATGGATGAGGAGATAGCTAGTTTATATACGCCATCAAGCGGGAATGATCCAGAAAAGCAATATAACAATGACTTGGAGATGGCCACAAGAATGAGTTTACATGAAACATACCAGAGGGAACGCAGGTTTAGAATGCCTGGTGGTTATGACATGAGCATGCATGGTGGGCTTAGCTCAGACATGCATGTCAGGCACAGCTCGAGCATGTATGGCGGACCCAGCTCAAATATGTTTGCAGGGGTTGGTGGCAATATGTAACAAGAGGAATCAGATGTTGAAAAAATTGTTTCTAGCTTATCTAGGAGTGTCAGTATTGCAGGTCATGGTTGTAAAGACCCATTTCTCTCAAAGCCTAAGTCACAACAGATGACCCTCAAAGGCATGGTGAAAGGTTCGAGGATCATGTTGGGCAGATATGTTGGTAAATGATTCTACGATAAAGGGATCCCCTTTGATGCAGCCAATAGCTCATATTTTTCACCTATGGTCAATGCAATCCAGAGAGCCGAGCCTGGGATAAAGCCTCCGACGGCATATAAGCTTAGTGGGCCAATCTTGGATGAAGAGGTGGAGGAAGTTAGAAAGTGGATTGAAGAATATAAACAAAGTTGGCCAAGAACATGCATTACTCTCATGAGTGATGGTTGATTGAATAAAGTTAGCAAAAAAAAGTTTTTAAACTTCTTAGCCTATTATCCCAAAAGGTCCAGCTTTTTTGTCTAACAAAGACGTATCAGGCATAAAGAAGGATGCAAACTTTTTGGTACGACTATTTGATCAGATAGTGGAGGAGGTGGGAGATAAGCATGTAGTCCAGTTTATTACGGAAAATACGCGTGCATGTGTTTCTGTGGGCAGCAAGTTGATGGATAAGAGGAAGCATATAGTATGGTCCCCGTGTGCTGCACATAGCATCGATCTTATGTTAGAGGAGATCGGTGAGATCAAAATTGTAAAAGAGACTCTACAGGAAGCAAGGTTGGTGTCAAGATTTATATATAACTGCTCTTAAATTTTTTTTTTTGTTCAGAGAACAGTCTAAGAAAAAAGAGAAAATCAGGTCTACCATAACCCGTTTTGCGACAGATTACTTGGCTGTGGTCTCCATTCTGGAATATGAAGGTGCAATAAAGAGATTGTTTACTAGTGAAGAGTGGTTAAATGACCGCCTCTTGAAATCCAGTACCGGGCTAAAAGTGGACGGCATAGTCTCAAA